TTGGTATGGAGTTAGCTGTAACCCTGAATTAATACATAGGCTACGTTTAACTGCGGCAAAATATCCCTAATAAACCGCGGGTAACACCGCGGGACACAGCCAGTAATTCATAAAAGGCAGTTAGGATTTTAAGAGGCAAATAATCTTATTAAATAGAAGCCTTTTTAATTAGTACCCAAAGAATATTAACCACACGAGTTCAGTCGGTGCTGGTCGGGTGCCGGGTGGGTCTAATGACCTGTGACTCCAGATGCAGCCGAGACCAACAGTAACAAGAGTCCGTCTTCCGAAAGCGCAAAAGATCGAGATTTTTTTGGTCACCATCCTATGATAAAGCAAACAACGCGCTTTTGTTTCCAAAGTTAATTTTATTTACTGGGATCTTCTGTGAGGTGGAGGTATTTTTCTCAGACGGGTCGTCCATTTCGAGCGGGAAATCCGAAATGAAGTACCTATTTCGAACAGAGGTACTACTCAAGCCTTCCACAAAAAGTGTTATACCCTTATAGGGAAGATACGGCACTCGCGGCTCAAAAGTGTACCGCCCACGATATTGTGTACCGCTTAAATAGTGGTGCATGACAACAAGTCGCTTTATTGGACATTCAAATACGCTGCATGTGCACTAAATATATTATATTGCGTATATTCTACGTTATAAAGATAAAACAATGCCTTCAATGATTTTATAAAGAAAACAAATAGTTCAAGATCAAATACCAAATTTCACGGCAAAACTTTTCATTCGTAAAACCGTTAAAAATAAAACTCGAAAATCACGGTTTATCATAAATGTTATTTAATTACTAGTGGCCCGCCCTCGCTTCGCTTCGGTGTAGAGCTGTAGTGTAAACTATAGTTTTTGTTCTCAGGCTTCTGCTATAAACAATGACTTTATTTATATAATTACACGTGTTATTGTGAGTCAACCATAAAAGATAGACATATGCTGTTGCGGGATATTTTTTAGACAATTTTATGTAGAATATTTCCGTCATACATGATTTCTATGTAACTTTAACCATTAAGGCTGCACCCGCGACGGAAGCTTAAAAAATGGAGTAACTTCTCCCGTTTTCCCAACATTTCCCTTCACTACTCTGCTGCTATTGATTGTAGCGTGATGAAAAGTATACTATAACCTGCCCAGGAGTATGAAGAATAATTGTACCAAGTTTCGTTAAAATCCGTTGAGTAGTTTTTGTTTCTATAAGGAACATACACACAGACAGACAGACAGACAAAAATTTTACTGATTGCATTTTTGGCATCAGTATCGATCACTAATCACCCCCTGATAGTTATTTTATAAATATATTTCATGTACAGAATTGACATCTCTACAGATTTATTATAAGTATAGATTTGCCATTTGGACAACAATACAGCTCAGCCGAGAAAAAAGGCAGTCGGTTGCCAACCAACGCCGACGCGGATTCGCCGTTTCGCTCGCGCTGCGTTGAAGCGTAATTAACTCGCTCGCTCGATTGAATGTTTATTTACAGAAGTGTGCGTGCGTGAGTTGCTTATGTAGTTGAGTCGGAGCATATTTTATTTGATGCTAGTATGAGCGTACCGTATCTTCCCTTTTTGCTGAAATCTAAGATTATATAATGGTTATAGCATCAAAAATACAAAGTACTCATGTTTAAAATTTTATTTACATGTTAATTGGTTTCATAGTTCACTTTAATATCGAAAGAATAACAACAAAACTGTCACTTACGGTCACATATAACATTTTCTTTTACTTTAAGTGCCAACATCTTCGATCAACAATACTATAGATAACAGGTCAGCGCGTAAAATCTGTCTCGGTAAATATAGCCTCACTGCAGGGATGAGATCTTATTTTAAATTAGTTCGGTTAATACACAACAATGGGTCGGTCGGTAAAAGGTGGTATGTACGAAATAACATCTCGTTATTTGTAACTTTATTCCTTTGTGACATGGTTGTTATTGGGTTCAACTTAAAACTGTTTTAAAACATTTGTCTTTAGTATATACTCTTACGGACAGTTTTTAGGCTTTGATTTTGTATGCAACCCGTTATCTATTTGATGGAAGGCCAACATAAAGCAGTAAACATTTGGATTATGAAAACAAAATACATTTATCCATAAATATTTCACTTGATTGAATTATATAAATATCTCTGTTGCGTAATAATTTTAAGTTAAAACGACATTTTAATTTAATTTGTCGGCAGGGACAAAGGTACTAAGACTGAAAATACAGTTTCTTCAAGACATTATGCAGTGTAGACAAAAAGAGTAACAATATCAATACTGAGCGAATTTAATGTCTGACAATTTTTGTTGCTAATGAGAATAATAAACTATAATCAAATGACTAAACATACTCGAGATATAAAACAACACAAGTTACAATCGTTGATAAATTGATAAACTTTATTTGTGAAGGTGATAAGTTTTAATGATTAGAATTTCTAGATAATATCTATCATTTTATTTTATTATAAACCACAATTATTTTACAATATGACTAGAATAACAATATTATTATAACTAAAATTATAAAATCACAATATCTTTTCATAAAAAAAGCTTAACTATAAGCTTCTGTCTTCTGTCTATGTACCCATGATGTTTTAAAATTATAGATACGTCATACACGCTTCCAATTTGGCAATACGAAAGTTAGGTAATTGCCAGACTTGAATTCAGTCGAGCACGCTCTAGCTCTCTCGCCGCAGCTACACTTTGCTCCAACGTGTAAATATTTTACTTTTTCCAGACAAAAAACCCTATGGTTGTTTATAGACAGAACGCAAAATACACGGGAACTATTAGGAATAAAAAAACCATGTCATTTCATTCGTAAGTACAGTTTTAAAAAAAATGTAAATGTATTGTAATCAAGGCACTTATATACTAACTGGAATGCTTAATAAACAATATGGGATTTCAAAAAAGGTACTTTAACTATTTACACATAAAGTCCATTTTTGTTTCTACCTTCATAAGGGGGGAAAATACTGCTAGCGCGATAACGACGAAAGTGGAATCTGTCCCTCTCTTGCAACTGCTTCCGCATACTACTAGAACGAGACAGATTCCACCAATTTAGCTATGCACTTGGAACGATTTTGAGGGTCGGGTAAGCATTCTGGTTAAAGTCTGTGCGGAAAGAGAATGGGCGTGGCGAAAAACAGAACATTAAGATTTTTATTTGGCAATCCCAGCAATCTGTAAAACGTCAAAGTTTTGTATTGATATGGATTTGTTTGTTGTTGTGATTTGTTGCGGTTTTTTGTATTTAAGCATGTCTGAAAGGGGTAAAACCTTACAAATACGGTAGAAAAGCACTACAGCGCCCTCCAATCTAAATCCCATTCTCTTTCCGCACAGACTCTAGTATATAAGTTCCTTGATTGTGATTACTTAATTTGACAGTTGCTGACACCGTTGACACGTGGAGGCTAAAGAGCGAGATGCAATATGCTTATGAATGGGAGTGAAAGAGACTACTTTAGTGCGCTCTATTGCCATGGGAAGTTGGGGCAGGGAGTACTTGTGCCATCATAAAATGCAATAATATTGGCGTAGAACCTGGTATTATATATTATACGTCATTGCTATGTACTCATTACTTACAAATGTAACTACTTACTTTCATAAAAGCTCTTTATTGCACTGCTTTTACATTCTACCTATCTCGTAAGTGCCTTTTAAAATACGGTAGTAGGGCATAGCGAATTTTCCGCTTGTATTGGAGGCGCCCGTTAAGGGGACTAATCTCCACCTTAGAGACGACACATTAAATGAAGGTACACATGGTGTATTACACCACCTAAGGGTGGTGTTGTGTTTTTCTCGGTGAGGATGGTTCCAGGGCTCCAAGGGGTAGGGGTTAGGTCAGGGTTGCAAAACAGAAGGATTTTTATGGAAGTGAAACTTCTTTACGCACGCTTGACTTGGGGGGTAAGCTGGCGAATGCGTTACGCGTTACGAAAAGTGTGTTCGGCCGAGGCGAACGGGGGTTGAGTTGGGGATATAAGCAAGAGAAAGCAGTGCGCGCGCGCAAATTTTCTTTCTCTTTTAGATAGAAAATGAAATATGTATATGTACATACATGTATATATTGCACACACACACACATATATATACATACATACAGATGGAGCTAAAAAAGTTTCACTTCAGTCGTGTAGTCATTCTCGTTTTATTAGCCTTTTTATTTTAATTTCCTATTTAAAAATGGGTAGCGTTAAATTTCCACTAGGTATGGTTGGGTTAAAATATGTTAATAGGATCCTAAGTGTGAATATAGTCAGAGTTATTTTTCCAGGCGGGCACTCAAATCCGAGCGAAAAATTCATCCCCACATCTATTCAAGTACCCTTTTTAACCTAAACCTTACTTACACTACGGATGTGTAGACTAGAATGCAAAAAAATAGCTTTTGGAAGATAGTGTTTTGGTAAAGATTAGTATTCCCATTGCCTCACAAAACCTCTACAAATTTTAACAAATTCTGAGTAGAGTAGAGTGCGATTCAAACTTAATGGCGGCTGTGAAGTAAACGCAAGTCTCGGCGCAGTAAACGAAATGTATCTTTACGAATGAGGCGAAAACTGGAACTAACGCCGCCTTCTTTGTAAACGTCGTATTTCGTATGTCATTTACGTAGACAGCAGCGCCTTCCCTGAACTGTCACTCACGTTTATGAACATGGAGGTTAGAGAGAAGACAACAACGATCGTTGTAGAAAATAGTGTCCCAGAAATATGGACAAAATAAGTGAGGCGCTGCGATCACTAAGTTGTCTCAATAAAAGCGAGCTGTTGTGCACGCATTTGATATGACCAATGCCGCGAAGAAAATTTGTACATTATTCAACTAACTTCATCCACTTGTACTCATAAACAGCTATCTTCACAGATACTACTTACCGACGGCAGCGCGGCTGGTGGCTGAAAAATTAACTATAAATTCTACAAATTTTCAGGCACAGGCGGGTAATGCTTTAGCACGTAGCGATCGTTCTCCTTCTCTCTAACCTCCATGTTTATAAAGATCCTTAGCGCATTGTAGTCTATGATGTTGGCGCGCGCGGGATTTCACTAAACTGAAATCCGCGCAATGTTGAGCTCGCTGCTAACTTCAAGGCCATAAAGTTTGTGATCGCCACGACTATTCATAACGACCCCTTCTCGATTACTATCCTTTCTCGACGCGAAAGAGACGAGAAGCTCACTTGGTCCGTTTCTTGCCCTCCTTCTCCTGGAAGTAGCCGCCGCCTGGGCCCGGCACCAGTTTCACTGGCTTGTCCCGCCTCTCGTTGGGTGATGGTGGATCCGAATCAGTCACTATGCCTTGCAGTCGCTGAGTGTTGATCTGACTGAGTCTGTGAGTTCAAAGATATTTTCAAATTAATCTTTTATGTTATTTATTTAGAAGCTTTTAATCCTCGATAAATGGACTGGATGGTGGTCTCGCTTTTTCTAATGAGACCAGTAGGTTCCTGAGATAAGCGCGTTCAACCAAACAAACATTCAAACTCATCAGCTTTATAAGATAAGTAAAGACGCAGTATATGTACTGGTTCCTTACTTACTCGTATATTATAAAATTTTTCATAGTCTTTTATAGATTACATGGACAGTCATAGTTACAAACAATATTTATAAATTTTTGAATACCACCGATTGTGCAACATATAATTTTACATTACTATATTTTTAAATTGTAATGTAAAATAATATGTTGTTGGTGAATCTGTGTCAATAAAATAAAAAAGATTGCGCCCATGCCAATATTGTTGCGAATTTCCCAACCTCGAACACTGCTGGATCCTTGTACCAGATTCAATTTTATCAATATATTATTTTTGTCATTCATGACTGGCTTTGCAATTCTTCATCGTTCCTCCTTATGTTGTGTGTGTAGAAAAACTTTTTTTTTATGTTTATTCAGGCGGACGTGCTGACAGTCCACCTGATGGAAAGTGGTCACTGACAACCATGGACACTTGCAGCTCAAAAGGTTCCACTCATGCGTTGCCGGCTTCGAAGGAAAAGGTTCACCCGCCGTTTGAAGAACCCCATAACGTAGCCGAATGGCAAAAACAACTGGGGTAAGGCTCCAGATCTTCTGGAACGCAAGATAAAGGAATGCGCATAACCCCAAGCGTACAGAAGGTGGGGGTGAAATTTCTGTCTGCGGCGTGTGGTGCGGTAAAGGAACTTGGCCGCTGGAACCATATTAAATTATCCCTAGGATCTCTCTGTGTTGTGTAGACGCAATGCCTTTGCGCAAGCTCTGCCCCCACCGGGATTCGAACCCGGGACCTCTCGAGTCGGCGACACCATGAAAGCCGGCGTACAAACCACTCGGCCAGTCGGTTATATAAATGATAGGTCTTACCTAATTTCCTTCACGTCTGCTACTTTGTCTGTAGGCTGCGTATTTTTTTTATAAAAAGGGCCGACACGCGCCCTAATGTTAATTAGATATATTTTCCTCCTTGTTTTCCAAGACCAAAAAAGTCTTCTAGTTCCCGACTATACGCGGCTCGAAATTTTATAATTTCATATTAATAGATAGCTCTTATCTTACTTCTTCCTCGTCTACTACATTATCTTTAAGGCTTCGTATGATGCCCTCCTTGTGTTCTAGAGTCAGAGAGGCCGCTCCAGTTTCCACTTATACTCGGCTTGAGCCAGAGCCGCACGACAATGACATTATAAGATTACATATAAATGATAGATCTTACCTAACTTCCTCCACATCCGCTACTTTGTCTATAAGGCTGCGTATGATTCCTTCCTTGTGTTCCAGTGCCAGAGAGGCTCTCTCCAGTTCTCGCCTATACTCGGCTTGAGCCAGCGCCGCGCGGCGTTCTTGCTCGACTATACGTCGCTCCAGTTCTTCGAGGGAGGTGTAGGCACGGGCTTTTACTACCTGGATACAATCATAACCATAAAAAGGCAAATCAAAGTATGCTCATCATCACAGATAGGGCCGTTACTATTCCATCTATATTCTTACCGCTAAATTATAAGAAATTCAGAGGACGTAAAATAAAATAACGCCATGTAAAAACAACGGTTGAGGTACAATGCTTTGGTAAGCATGTAGTGAGAGAGAGAGGGAAAGAGATTTTTTATTAACCATTTGTTACACGAGTATTACAACAACAATGAAAGAACACATAAACATTAACATAAAAACAAAATTAAAAACTAACTTAAAACTATAAAAGTAAATTAATTGTTAATCAGGACCCTGCCTCAGCATGATGCTGTTGCCACACGTTCAGTTAGTAATAGTATCATAGTGTTCGTTCGTTCGTAAGTCTTTCTTTAACAATAGCCTACGCCATGTGTTGAGTTGACAATGTGTTCTATTGAATGCTGCCTCTATTCCAGACAACAGCCTCAGTTCAATGACAGAATAGCTTTTATTTGTATTGATGCTAGGGCTTGTTGTCGTCATTCCGGCCAATCAGAGCCCCGCTCGCTCATGATGCGATTTACATCCTTATGGCCCTGCCTATGGCTATTACATTAATGTTCCCGATTCACTATTATACTTCCAAAAGGAATAAAAAGAACTAATTACTCCGCCCTTCCTGATATAAATTATTAACGGAGTTCAGCGATTCAGCGAGGTTGACAAATGTATCTACATTTCCTATTCCAAACAGATCAGTGTGAAAGAAACAAAGCGATCGTGCGGAAAATAGTTCGTATAGGTATTGGCTGCATCATTGCTTTCTCTCTATCTAGAGTTGCCATGCGAGTGACGTTCAGTCCATTTTCAAAGTCTATTATTGCAATTAAATCATCTTCCCTATTACAATACACAGTAGAGCTACAGTAGACAATTTTACACCTAAATCATCTTTTTCTTATTATCTTTATTTAAATCCTACTATTTGCAAGGATGTTTCTTACTCTTTCACGCTAAATCGACTGATCGGATCTGGATGTAATTTAGCAGATATATTTACTTAGATTTACACATATTTTTATTTTTATACCGGAAGAAGTAAAAGTTTTTGGAGTATACCGGGGAATTCTCTTAAAACTAACTATAACGCGGACGAAGTCGTGGGCGGAAAATAGTCCAACATTAATTTTCTATCTAAAGAAAAGTTTACTAGAAAAAAATCCACGCGGACCAGGCAGCGGACGGGACTCGAACCCGCACCCTTCGCAATCCGGGCGAATACACTGACCATTATGCTACCACGGCCCTATTCGTCGCGTCGAAATTTTCCTAGCCTTAAGCTGCAAGGCAGCGCCATCTCTTCGCATTGTAGGTAACCCACAATCTAGCAGTTAAATGCTTAAAAATAAATAAAAACATAAATAAAAACATTCTATTTCTATATCTCTAAACCGGTTGAATTGTATAGTATACCTTATATTGCCATTAAGTCATTTAGTTCTGTGCAAACAAATGTAAATTAACATAGGTACTTAATAATTTTTCCATGTATGAAAAAGTATACTTGAATAACACCAATCTTGCACGGAATTTACACGTGCGTCACACATATGGTCTCGACGATAGCCTATAAAATTTAATTTCAATGTACATATTATTATGAAAGATGTTGTTATGATGTTGTATTTCAGGGAATTCATCAAATAAACACACGAAAAATAGTATTGATTGAGAAAAATTTCATAACTGCTGGATTACTGCTGCTCTATACGGAACGAAAAGAAGAGATTGCTATCAAATTTACAAACATGAATAGCCATGTGAAGTGACAGCCTGTTCACGATCCATCAAATCTTTCTATTGGCCGTCAAATCAGGGGCCTATTACCCTAGAGACAATAACCAGGGGCGGCTGTAAGAACTTCGAAGGGCAGCAAAAGCCATATAAAGGCCTTCATTTTTTTTCTTTATTAAGCCATACACCTTGCAGTTTAAGCCGGCTAGATAGCTATAACTTTAATTAACATAACAATTCGATAAGGGCAATTAAAAAGACACATGAATTCTGTCGCTGTTATTAGAACTAAAGTTTAAAACATTGATGAATTATAAAAAACAAATCTTGTCTACTACATTTAGTACTATCAATGAGATACTCTGTGTTTGTTTCGTTCTGCGAACACTCCATCAGTATGTACATCAAAAGATTTGAGCAATAGGCCTTCGTTAGTAACGAATCGTTACTGACCAAAATTTTTTACGGGGTGCAAATAGTGAGAAATTTTAAAATACGCCCTGTTTATCGATCGACTGCATGCGTGTTCGTTGGAACTCTGAGATCTGTTAAATATCTTTGCTGATCTTCAAATGCTTCATCCTTTCGAGTGCATGCATTGTGATTTCTTAAAATTTGTTTTATGTCTGTATATATGTTAGACTCTAAGGTATTTATCTATGGGCTTATGTAGCCTAATTATAAATAAATAAAATTAAACCACGTCCGTTGCAACTCCGAGAGCTCTGTTACTTTTTAAATATCCCATGTTTACCTTGTATTGTTATTATAAGCATTTAACTGTTTGATTTATAAATCTAAAGAAAATTATAATGCGAAGAGGTTGCGTTGCCGCGACACGCGGCCAATATGGTCTCGGAAGCGAAGTTGGTTAGTGCGTCCGCCCGGATTGCGAAAGGCGTAGAGTCAATATTTTTTTATCTTCAAAGAGTGGTAAACAAGCATATCTCCAGCCTGATGGTAAACAGCCGCCATAGCCAATGTCTACCCTGACGCTGGCCCAATCCCAATCCCTTATCCTGTCTGATACATGATTCTGAGTTCTTATAAAGTAATTTATGTCATTGGCGGAATTGCTACTATGTACCTTGTTTTTTGCGTCTCTGATATTTAGCACTGTTGCAATTGCAAGTGCCATGATCACGGAGTAACTGATGCAATTTCGGGTAGAATGTTATTGGCAGTCATATCAATCAACCGTCTGACGAAGTGTTTCAATATACCATCCGACGAAGTCTTTCAATATACCATCCGACGAAGTCTTTCGATCTACCATCCGACAAGTTTTTAATTGCGATCAAACCCTTGTTCCGCTGTTCACGTTCTCACTATTCATTCGCACCTTTTCTATCAATTCTTTCTGTTGGTTTTCGAATCACAAATGCTTACCTGGATTTCTTTCATGATCCTTTCTATTGCATCGAAGGCCTGTTTGAGTGGTTCTGCATTGCTGTTGGTCTTCAAATATCTCATGCTTACTGTGATTTCTTCGTTGGATCGTCGCACCACTGTTCACGTTCTCACTAGTCACTCGCATCTTTTCGAATTCGAAATTCGAATGTCTCATGCTTACCTTGATCTCCTTCTTGATCCTCTCGACTGCGTCCAGGGCCTGTTTGAGTGGTTCTGCATTGCTTCGCGCCCGTCGTACACTTCTTCTAGCCCTCGTTACCCGGGCAGTGGCTGCCTTCACACGCTGACGGAATATCACTGCTGCTTTGCGGTACAACCTTCAATAATTTCATCATCATCAACCTATTAATATCCCCACTGCTGGGGCACAGGCCTTCCTGGATGGAATAAGGAAATTGGGCCATGACCCACCACGCGGGCCCAGTGCGGATTGGCGGGTGCTAATGACTGCAGATGCAGCCGGGACCAACGGCTTAATGTACCTTCCGAAGCACTGAGGAACTGGAGAGAGAAGATTTTTAGTCACGCATCCAATGACCGACCACTGCGAAAGTTGCTTAACCTCAACGATCGCAGCCGAATAACCACCCGTGCCATTTAGCTCCTCGATAATTCTCCTCGATTAGCTCTCAATAATTTATGATACTTCAAACTCATTTTTTTAATATCTCTATTACTATTTATAAACAGGGTAAAAGAAGGTTACCCTGTCGGGTAAAAGAAGCTCCTATAAAAAGAAGAATTTTAAATTGTTAGCCTTATACTTGTGTATCAGGCTAGATATTTAACTGATACGTAGTAAACTCACAGAACCTTAGTTGATATGCATTTAATATGATCATGAAATATGAAACTATTTATTCTCTATCTATTTTTGTTGATAAAAAATGCCAAGTTACTAGCCAAGCCAATCTTCATATTTTTTAACTTAATTTTCATATATTTGTTTCTTAGGTTTTCACGCACATCACTCATTAAATAAAACTAGTTTAAACGGGATAATGCACGAAACTTTATTTATTTATTGACGTTTCGTAGCCTTTCCAGGCTTCGTCGTCAGAATAAAACTTTTGTTTAATTTGTAGTAGGAAGGTAGCTCGACAAATTAAGCAAAAGTTTTATTCTGACGACGAAGCCTGGAAAGGCTACGAAACGTCAATAAATAAATAAAGTTTCGTGCATTATCCCGTTTAAACTAGTTTTATTTAATTTTCATAATTATCTTTAGATAATTATCGGGTTATAAACATAAAAAAAGAGTTTGAAATTTCACATTTTACATTAATTTTGTATGAATTATGTGCTAGTGCCAGAGGTAAGTGTTTAGCCAAACTTTTGCCAATCCTTGTATAATTTGAAATGTCACAAATCACTAAGTTTGTTTGAATTAAATCGTAGATACTTTTTTTTAAGTCAAAAGTGTGACAAACAAACATATGGCCCGTCTGATGGTAAGCGGCCACCATAGGCTATAGCCGCTTGCGATAAAAAACATCACTCTTGCCGTTGCCTACCCTGAGCCAATCCCCTACCCCGTGGAGCCCTGGAACTTTACTCACCTAAAGAAACACAACACCACAAAAAGGAAGTGTTATTTTACTGTGATCTTCTTTCTGTACGGTGGAGGTTCCTACCAGAGATGAGCGCTCCAATTCGAGCGGAAAGTCCACTATACTTAGGGTTCGGACATGTCCGGACTTTTAGACTATAGTCCGGAGTTTTTCCAGATCTTTATATTGTCCGGATTTTTTAAATTACATTGAATATGAATAATAAAATATTGTTATAATTTTTATTATTTATAAAGCATGTAACTGCTTGAAAAGAATAAATAGTTTCATATTTTCTTTAGAATAAAATATTGATTTAAATACCATACTATTGTAACTAAGTGAGTAATAGTACCATTTTGTGACTAAAAAGCTTGGACTCATTTCGAAATGTAAGGTTTTTGTCAGGACTTTTCCTAAATGGTAACTCTTACTAGTTACTACCCTACATGTCTTGATTATGGTTGAGGTAATTGTAAGTCTTCTAATTAAACTTTTGCATTTTGGTCCTTCAAGCTGAATCAATACGAATTGTACTTAGAATGCTGTTAATGTCTACTATCTTTAATTTTAGTATTACAAAGCAATACCTGACATTCTTGAGAGCCGTTTTCAATTCTTTCTTCACAGTTTCATGTTCATTAAACATCTTGGTATACTTCTCTTCGATAGCCTTCAGCTGTTCTTGTAGTTTCCCTATCAATTCAGTTTTGCGTTCATTTTCCATGGAGTAATGGTGTTTCAGCTCTTCTAACAACCTTAACCATAAACGTTATAATTTAATGAGTTAAAGCACCTTAATACTCAGTGCTCGATTCTTCGTTTGTAAAAGGCAGTCAGAGAGGACGGGCCTGTACCAAAAGACATCTAAATACGTCAGTTCACTCTTGGTCGCTTATGTTATAATGGATTCCTGATGGCGAACTACTTTCAAATAAATCTTACTTAATATTATAAATATAAAAGTTTGTTTGATTATTTGTTTCTTAGGTTTTCACGCACATCACTCATTAAATAAAACTAGTTTTTCACGGGTTAATGCACGAAACTTTATTTATTTATTGACGTCGTCGGAATCAATTTTTTATTCAATTTTGTCGAGCTACCTTCGAAAGACTATATTATTATAAGACTATATTATTATTAATAAAGTACTTTTTTAACTAAATTAAGTAATAAATTCATACATAGACAATAAAACTTTAAAAATCGAACAATGAAATAACGGAACGCTCAATAAAAGTCTTTCGAAGGTAGCTCGACAAAATTAAATAAAATATTGATTCCGACGACACAGCCTGTAAAGGCTGCGAAACGTCAATAAATAAATAAAGTTTCGTGCATTAACCCGTGAAAAACTAGTTTTATTTAGTTTGTTTGTTATTCAATCACGCAAAAAAGGCTGAACTGATTTTGAAGAAACTGGCCACCCACAACATTGTCGGCGTTAACTTAAGTTTTTTGATAATCTCACAGGAAGTTAACATTTTTTCGGGGCAAAAAGTATGCTGTCTCAATCCAGGTCATAATCTATATGCGTACCAAAATTCGTCCAAATCCATTCGGTTGTTTTTGCGTGATTAAGTAAAAAACATACAACCTTTCACATTTATAATATTTACCTGAATTGAGATTTGAGATATAGGATACTTATTTTTAAGCCGAAAACATTTTAAGTTCGACAAAGCCAGTAGCGGACACTAGCTTTAATAGAATCACTGCTCAACCTACCTTTTACAGTGGTCAAGTCTGCGTTCGTGTAAATCAGCGGGGACAGTCCTGGCCCGAAATACATCCAATTGTGCCAGTTTACTCTCAGTCGTTTCTAGAGCACTTCTTGTGGCGTAATACTCGCGATGTACTGTTTCGTAGTCTCGCATCATTGCTGACACTAAGCCGAAAGGAGAAACAATAAGATCATTGAAATGTTTGTCAAAATACAATGTCATATTACAAAATAGTATTTGTTTTATAATCATCATCAGCTAATTAATGTCCCCACTGCTGAGGCACAAGCCTTCCCTATGAATAAAATAGGGAGATTGGACCATGACCACCACGCGGGCCTAGTGAGGATTGGTGGGTGCTAACGACTGTAGGTGCAGCCGGGACTAACGACTGAACGTGCCTTCCGAAGCACGGAGGAGCTTAAGTTCCACTCGAAAGTTGCTGAACTTCCATTATCGCAGGCAGAACGCATTATTCACCTGCGCCATCGAGCGCCTCACACTTTTTTTTGGTCACCCATCTAATGACCGACCACTGTGGAAGTTGCTTAACTTCAATAATCGCAGCTAAATGCGCTTACCATTTGCGCCATCGAGCTCCTCCAACATTTGTTTGGGTGTCAATAACAATACGTCCGTTTTTACATTTGTGCACCCATGAAGTTTTTCATATTCGAAATTAGTTCTAAACTTGTAATTAAAAGTATTATTGTTCTTCATTGTCATTAGAGACGTGCAGTTTGTCATAAAATTTATCGAATCGGTAATTTAGGAACGTAGAATTAAAATCTTACAAAATCATAACAAATAGAGGTGACGACGGGGTAAAGTAAACAAAATTCTATTTAGTCCGTCAGTTAAATGTTAAAAAAATAATGGACACGTATTTTTTCTTTGGTCAATCCAACCAAAAAATAACAAAGAGAAAGCGCGTCAAAGTTTGGGAGTGGTGGCTCGTGACGTCACTTTTAAGTGCAAATTGTAGCAAAACGTGATGTCATGTGACTTTTCAAATCAATATATCTCTGTAATGTTAAGATTATGTGAAAAAAGAAAAAATACGTGTCCAATACTTTTTGGTAATCTACCTGTCACACGAAGAAAAAAAAGTAAGTCGTCATACCTATTATGGTCGTGCTATACATGGTTTCGGATTTTTTTTTTATGTTTAAAACCATTAAATATATAATTTTAACATTCAAAAACCGCTATTTGACAGAATGTTTAAAAGATTTAGTAAAATTAATTGACTTTATAATTGTCATGAAAATTATATGTCTTTTAGTCTTAGAAATTATAGTGAAATTATTCACTACATAACTCGCCTCGGCATATGTTTTTTCGAAATTAGGGTGAGTATCGTGTACCGAGTTGGATAATTACATCACTAGTTACAAATGAGGAGCGTCTGTTCAAAGGGGGCTATTTCCGTATTTACTGATTTATAGATTTTTACGTAAATTCTACTGGTATTCTAAGATCCTATCACAACCTGTGTTTAGTCTTGATCGATAGTGATTTATTTCCCCTTCAAGTTTGAACTTAAATTCGCGGTTCTCTTCAAACAGTGCTATTTTTACCTCATTTAAAAGTTGTTGTTCGACACATAATATTTTTTTATCAAACTAATTGAATTTTTTTTTTAATTGGAAGCGACATTTATGCCAAATATATAAAACAACTTGGGATCGAAAAGGAAACATAAAAAGCGCCAGATGCTTACTTTAACATCCATCCGTGTAGTACTTTCAAAAGCTATTCTTTTGTGACGTCGAATATCGTCAATTCGGTGATCTTTATACAAATTTAAAATCATTTATTATAAACAAACACCTACTTTTATCTTCATACATCTCATAAACTTCTTTCAATTTAGTCTCCGCCTTCTGTGCCCTTTCTACCAAAGTAGCCTTCTCGATATCTGCCGTCTCTCTCTCCACATACAACTTCTTCTGACTCTGTCTCACTTGCACCAACTCCTCTTCCAAAATGGCTACCTTTTCCGTCAACGCTTTGTTTTCGTCCACGATCTGTTTCGATTTCTTGTTCATGTTTTCGAACTGCTTTTCGTAGTCTATGATGAGGCTGTCTTTTTCTTGCAAATTCTCTTGGTATGCGTCGAATAGGGGCGCTGTGTAAAAAAAATAACTTGGAAAAAAAAATCCTTACATGAACCTTATACAAATAACCGCTGACTGCATTTGATCGTTTCCGAAAGTTTTAATTAATTGGACCAACTGGTAGTATTCTTATAATTTTATATTCAACTCTAATTATTAATATAACGTGTATTTTAAAAATATAAGTTCTTTTTTTCCAATGAATTGAGCCTTTATAAAAATAAAGGAGAAACACCTAAGACAATGTTAAGAACTAATAAAACTATCACAAAGATAACGATTTCCATAATATATTATGAATCTTAGGTCCGGTGGATAAAGGCCAAAATCAAACGAACATAAATGTTCTCAGAGCTAGAGAATACGCTAAATTCGACAAAAAACTAAATATGACATAAGTATTAGGCTTTAATATCGCATTATCAGAACCTCAACACTTACCTAACGCTTGAGCACTGAGCAACCCAGACAAGTCGACTAACCTTCCGGTCTGGGTTTGGTCATCTGCATTGCTTTTTGTATAAGTCTCGTCATTGTTCCCAGTTTCTAGAAAACAAACATAATTATTAACAATGAAAAAAAAAACAGTATAGTCTGCGTGGAATAATTTGTTAGCATGGAAGGTAAACATCTTTCTCAGTGGGCGATCATAGGATGGGTGATCAAAAATACTATCTCGAGCTTCTCCGTGCTTCGGAATGCACTTTAAGCCGTTGGTTCCCCGCTGCATCTGCAGTCTTTAGCACAGATCACACACAATTCACACTGGGTTCACTTGTTGGGTCATGTCCCAATCTCCCTATTTTATCTATAGGGAAAGTTTGTACAAACATTAGCTTTACCAGGATTCGAAACCAGGATCTCAGGGCGACACCTTGAAAGCCGGTGTTAACTAACACTAACATTATACATGGTATTATTCCGTGATCATGGCACTTGCAACAATACCGACATATCGGGGACTCGCAAAGGTACGGTACAAAACGAATAAATAAATAAACATTTTCAACACTCACACCAATTAAGCATTATAAAGCTTGTGTTATGGGATACTAAGGTAACGGATAACATAAATATACTGCTACATATATAAATATATTTTATCTAGAAAATATATTTAAACATCTATGACTAAAGTACAGAGCCTCGTATTAATCACACTAACGTTTGCCCTCACCGGGATTCGAACCCGGGACCTCTTGATTATGCGACACCTTGAAACCCGGTGAATATACCACTCGTCCACGGAGGTGGTCAAAACAAAACGAGATACACCTCGATATACCTCTAATATACTATTTGACAGTATGAAAAATAAAGTACCAAGTTTGGCATAAATAACATGAATATTGGGAGCGATTATACTGTTCTGACAAAAAAGTAGTTGATAATATTACTAAAAATCATAAAATAGAAAAGTATTTTTTTATCTACTGGCACGTGACCGAAAACGCCCAGGATTGAGGAGCCGTGTGACGTTACCTGTCTGTAAACACGGCATATTTCAAAACAGATTTTTATTTTCGTTTTTTTTTGAAGTGAAACTTCTGTAGGCACGTTTAACTTGGGGGTAACTGGTGAATGTGTGACAATTTTTGCGTTCGTTAATAATGGACCCAGTGCGGATTGGTGTTTTTTTTTTCTATCAACAAATCTTCAGGTTAAGTTTATGATTTTGAGATCATTGGGAGTTAAAGAAGTTTCACTTCAGTCGTGTGGTCATAAACACACTCGCTTTTTTTTACTAATATACACAACAGAATTATAAATATCCACTTTTTGATGAGATATATAATAAATTACGTATGAACGTTTTCAAAAACTTGTCAAATAGGCGCATTTAAATAAATTACTATAGTGTCGATTTATCTGAAGGACCTTTATATCCCAGACTTGTAGTGAGCAGTGAATCCAGGGCATCGTATTTGTCCTTAGGTCTGTGAACATAATCTCCTTTACTATCCGCGATATTGGGCATATTGCTACGGAGTTTCTCCTGGTATCGGGAAAGCTGGACGTTCAGCCTGAAACAATTATCAACTAATTTACTTAATGTGGAAGATCTAAAATAATAATGAAAAATAACTCTTTGACGTAATGCACAAAACTCGCGTAACCACCGAGAAATACTAATTTGTTTTTGATCGAAAAATAGTCATAATAATTATAATTGCTTTTAGGACCTTCGTAACGAAGTAAAATATACATTAACTTGCAACAATATCGTTCGTATAAATTGAATGACTAAAATGTCTGTGAAGTTAGCACAAGTCGCGATACAGTAAACTAAAGTGAAGTTGTGAAATTATAACGATAAATTTCAGAAAAATTCTAACTAACCCTTAACTAGACAAGCTAGCTTAGCATTCACGAATAAATATCTGCAATTTTGACGCGTCCCTCACATGGCTATACGTATTTGCCTTTTTGTCATGTTTACTCGACCTGATGAAATTATCATCATCTCGATGATCTGTCGTTTTTCGTTATTTATTAGAGCTCCATTAGTATATTTATGCGGCTACTAAGTGTCTAGACACACACTGACTCAACAATTATGAAAACTAACACGCGGCTGTTAATTAGCATTGTTGAAGTCGCACCTACCAAAGAGTTCCTTCACAGACTACATATCATTAATGTCCCCACTGTTGGGGTACAGACCTTCCCTATGGATGGAATAAGAGATGTGGCCATGACCCACCACGCGGGCCCAGTGCGGATTGTAGTCCAAGATCCCAGAGCCTACAGACCTACATCATTTTAGCAAAGCTGAAATTTTGAGGATTTCTAGTCTACTATCGTGTGTAGTTAAGACAGTATGCGTACTTACTAGGTCGAAAGCTAATTTAAAAGAAAAATAAAAAAGTTAACGTGACTGGCATCGACAGACCTGTTTATACCTGGCAACCCAGTAGTAGGTAAATAATAGACAACCCAACTGCTGCACATTTCATACGTTTAATATTGTAAGTCACGATAAAATTTTCTTATCATCTTGATGTTGCAACAATTTTATTTTTTAATAATTGAAAACAGTCTGTCCACGATTTTTTAAGCAACCCATTTTTTATATATTTTCTAATACATATATCAAATTCATGATAAAATATGTTTCATTCTATTATCAGCACGGTGAAGGTCGATTTAGGTTCGGATGTTAGACTATACAGAATTGTACAGTTTATGAATATAGACGCGTTCGTACACAATTTTATAAATAATTTAGTGTTCTCACTCACTTTCATGTGAACGAATAATGCCCTCACGCTCACACTCACAAGGGAAGCTTTAAGGCGTCTGGGAGAGTGATTGGCCCATCGGATTGGTCTGGCTGCTTACAAAGGATCTTGAAATAGTACCATGAGTAATATATGTGAAATGTAGGCTTGCTAGTATAACATAGTTTACCTAATTTTTAAATAATCTTTATAACCTCTGGCGGAAGTAATGGCACACGGAAATGGTCTGGCAATAATAAGTTTAAATTTTTGATACTATTCTTAAAAACATATTTAAATATGAGCATTTCTACTTTAACGTAGGTGAGTAAGGCTTTTATACACCTAACCAGGGTAGGAGCATGACCCCACAGTAACTCTGATCATTGCGATTGGTGGTAGATGTTCAAAACGCCCTTTTTAGGGCCAAGGGGGGCGGAAGAGGGACGGAGAGAACTACACTCTCCCTCCCACTCCTGTGAGAGCCGCGCGCGGGTCTCCCCAGGGGGGGGGGGGGGGCTCTTGATGCTGGTGCCCCTGATGCTCCGGGGCATCTTCATCAGGGTGGGTCCGTTCGCGGACAATCACCTTGCGGGTGCGCGGACAGTCGGCGGACAAGAATACCTTCAAAGTCTACATGTCCGCGTGTAATCTGATGTCGCTGAACTGGAAACTGTGCATAAATGCACTCGCTGCTAACTTCACAACCAACATAGGATTGCACTATTAACTAGTGAACTCACCACCGCTTCCACACAGATATTCTATTCTATTTCTGTCACATTAACAGGCATTCTCACGCAGTTTTGAGTAGAAATAGCGGTAAGTTTAAGTTATTATTATCGAAGCTGATGGGAGCCGTTCTTTAGGCTAACTTTCTATTTTGTGGTATCACTCTAACAGCTATCGTGGGTAACACTCAGTAGTTAATTAATAATACTATTTAATAATAAGTATTTATGTTACTTCGGTCTTTCAAAGCCTGCTTATTATTGTTTTGCATTCGCAAATTCTGCTTCATACTTCTGGTTACTCCAACGCCTGGTTTAATATGTGTATTATGAAACGTAAATAAATAAATAAAGTTTCGTGCATTAACCCGTGATAAACTAGTTTTATTTAATGAGTGATGTGCGTGAAACCTAAGAAACAAATGTGTGATCTGTTCTAACTAAAAAACTTATTTGTTGGTAGCACTAAGTCTTACTTACCTATAAAGGACGTCCTTCAAAGCCTGCATATCTTTCTGCAGACGGATGTTCTGTTCCCGTGCCTGATTCAAAATAATCTGTCGGCTACTGCAGCTCATACACACCTCCACCAATGGTATGGCTGTAACTGCGGTATCTGCCAAATGCAAGACATCAAATTTTGTTGGAAGAAAAGTCACCAAATTTGCTAAAACTCGATTAAACTTAAATTAGATTTAACCTATAGAAAATATCATAATATATAGAATAGTACTTGCATGGGCTAAATTTAGTTTAAATTAGAGATTTAACTAGATTCAAACCTTAAGCTCAACAAAATTTTTGGTGCGTAAATTAACCCTTTGTCTTTCCTGGTATAGTATGCCTAAACAGAAATAGTAGGTTTAAAACATGGTCCATTTACTGTCCGATATTCAACTTTAGATGAATGGATCCCGAAATCACAAATTAAGTATTTTAGAAACATACGCATCCGCGGCCAGGGTGGCGGGTAGTTGTATTCGCTTGCAATGTAAGCGGGTGTTCAAACACGATCGACCAATAAGGGTAAAAACCTTTGAACACAAGTTTACCTATAGCGTTATTGGTTGCAATCTTTTGTAAAGCGTTAGAAGGAAGGACTTAACAAAGCATTAAATTTAACTGTCATTTTTGAGCGTGATTATATCATTACATCTAGCGCATTTGAGAGAGGGTCTAGTGTATTTTTTTCTTTCAAGCGGCAACACTGCAGCTGATACCTCTCTCTCCACTCGCTACTAACTTCACAATCGCCATTAAGTTTGAAACGCCTTAACTTATGTAACGTTTACCTCTGTCAGGCACTTCGTACTGTTTAACTTTCTCCCCCAACTCTTTGCATTTGGCCTCCAGCTCCCTGCACCTGTCCCTCTCTTCCCTGATCACTTGTTTGCACTCTTCGACGTACTTCGCCAGGGTGGTATACTGGTTCTTGAGCTGATCATTCTCTTCGGCGAACAATTTGTTGTACTCTAAAACGGTTTTGAGTTTCTCCTTTAGCTTCGCTATGCTCGCATCTTTTTCAGTTATCTGAAATAGTATAATATTGCTTAATTTTTCCTATTATTTATTTAAGGAAACCTACAGCGTTGAAATAATATACTTATCCAAACATATTGGCAAAAATATTTTCTATTAAATCAGTTTATAGTAAGTATTAGAACAAAATTTGCTTTGATTACAAACAACAACAAAAACACATATTGATTAGATAACTGTCGAAAAAATAACACTTTACATACTATAAGTATTTATTCCGCATTTTTTTACCGAGTTCTGTGGCAACTTGACTTTTCAAAGGTTCGCGCGTGACTGTGAACCTAGAAGTGCTTGATTGGTGTTCAAGCACTTCTTGATTGGGACACATTTTGAGTGCACGTGGTGTATCTAGGGTATTTAATATCGTTGACGTTCATGGATAACTTTATTCTTTTGCTTTTTCTTTTTTTTCCATATTTATGAAGAAGCGTTATTACTAACCATGATAACATTCTCTTCACACCTGTCCATAAGAGTAGTGATGAGACTCTCATACTTCTTTGTTAATTTTCTTTTCTGTTCTTTCAGAAGTGACCTGCCTTCTTTACTCAGCTTGGGAGATGTGACAGCGACCCCTTGCAGATTACGTTTCCTTGGTGGTTTTGCAGGCTTTTCCCCTGAAACATAAAAAGCAAATTTCTTTAACCTGTAAAAGCAATAAACAAATAGTAATTCAGCCTGAAACTTGGGCGAAGTACCTGGATTTTTTCCAGTAACAATTTCTCTAGACCAATATGGAGGGTGATTGATTTGAAAACATATTTCTGTCATTCAGTCAGATCAGGTGTCATCCAAACCAGATTATTATTTAGAAATTTATTTTTTTCATGAAACACATTTTTAACAGGTAAATCAGTGTGTATATATTTATTTATATGTTATTAATGTTTGAGGTCTTTTGCAGGTCCTTTTTTTAGGCCTGAAACCTCAATAAAATATAAATAAATATATACATGCTTTTCACCTGATAATGTTAAATTATTGGAGTGTGTGAGAAGATATGAAATAAATAATAATTATTTTGCTATTTATCATGAAGACGAAGAAGAAATTGAACCAATGAAATTTATTAAGTTTCTATTTTTACTAGCCCTTTGATTAATGATATGCATTATGATGTTGTGACTTTGTGAGCTCAGCAATGAATGTAAAAAACATTTCGTAAAAAACTACCTTAATTCTCAGATATTATAATATATTTTGTAAATATTACCAATAACATCCCTAGGGTCCTCATACATAGGATTATCATCGACAAACTCTTCTGTCTCATCTCTTCCCTGACTCTTCAATGTCACCATCTTGGACTCCGCTCTCTTCAAAACAGTATCCATTATATCTTTTTTCATACTGGCTCGCCTCTTTGGTGAGCCGATATTGAATATTCTTTGGCTTTTTGTGAAATTTCCAGAAAAAGTCAATCTATCTCGACTCGATTTCATAGAGCTATTCCTAGACACTCGGCCATTATTATCCCTCTGTAGATTAAGATTCATTATTTTCTCTGTAAAACTCTGCCCAATTTTGTGCAACTGCACCTTCCAAGTGATGTCTGGAGTTACAGAATACGAAACTAATGTATGTACGTATGTATGTATGTACTAAATGTACATGATTTTTGTGTATTAAAACTAATGAAATGAATTTAAACCAATAGTATTTGCTGTCATCTTTCAGTCAAAGACAAATTGATTCTAAATAATAATTTTTTGAGATAACTTGTACCAAGGTACAAAATTGGGCAAAAATCAAAGGTCTTCTTTCAATTTATATTTAAGAAGAACAATAATTAATAAATTGGAAGTATTTTTGCACTTTAGAAGCTCGATGGCGCAGGTGGTTAATGCATTGGAACTGCGATCATGGAAGTTGAGCAACTTTCACACGGGTCAGTCCTTGGATGGGTGACGAAAACTTACTATCTCAAACTTCTCTGTGCTTTGGGTGGCACGTTGAGCTAAGCATTGGTCCCGGCTGCATCTGCAGTCTTTAGCACCCAACAATCTGCACTGGGCCTACAAATATTCCATCTATAGGGGCGGTCCATGCCCCAACAGTGGGGATGTTAATAGGCTGATGCTAATGACGCTGAATTTTATACTTTAAATACTCTCTAAATTATATAATCAGTAGTTTCATAAATCGTGATATGACATTAAATAGGTACTTATTAGTTACCAGTTTATTTATTATCATTCAAAGCTTTAAACAAATTTTAAATTAAAATAAAATATTTTTATACGACCTTCGAATAAAAGTAATTGTATTCTTCATCTTCCATCATCAGCTGTCTGAGTTTGTAATCCACCTTTTCCCGTACATCTTTCTTTGTTCAGAACTAAAGACAAAGAATGTGTACGAAGTTGCACGAGTCGTTCGTGACTTAAAAAACCATTGATATTGGGTCACAGAGTAAATTTATAACTAGGTCAAAACAGTAATTTGTACTTTTTATTAGCGAAACGAAGTTCGTACCATGTTCTTTGACACTGAATATCGATAAAACTTTATGCCTAGTTTATTATGAGCCGAGAAAGTGTATTTTGCACCACACAATGAACATTTTTTAAGCATTTATATATTTAATTACTAATATTAAATAGTGATTTTTTAAGAAATCAATTTTATATAATAATAGCTCACCTACAACACCGACACTGTCAATAAACAAAGTTGTTAAAATTTTGACAGTACGTTACTATGGCAACTGGGGATATCGCACTAAAATATAATTCCATTACTATTTCGAATATAATTAATTCTCCTTGTAGTAGATTTATTTTGTGCTGCTTCTGCTGCTTTTTTGGGCTATTGAACCAATTAGGTTCTTAATATAATCTTATATTAAAAATTGCGATATCTCTTTAAAACATGGTGAAAATTACACATTAAAAAAGTCACTCGAAGTTTAAAAAGACAAAGCAAAGATACCTTTCAAAATAATTATTGTATCGTCAGTCTATGTGCGCAAAGGATAAAAACGCAACTCCATCGAGACTTGGCTAGTTTTTTACAGAATGTTTTTGGTGGGATAATTGTTACAGAAAGTATAGCATAAAATGTAAACATAAATTAAACAACAGGCAACACATACAGATCTTTTTTAGATACCCAATCATTCCATGAAATGATTGCGTTTTAAAAACAATATTATTAGCTTTAAATTGTTACGATCGCGCGTCGCGCGTCCGCGTCTTGTATTATCTGCGGCCATCGCCTGCTTTCCTCAAGCTGACATCTCACGAGCCTGTTTTCTGAGTCTGAACCAGCGTGCACTGTGGCCGTACCCTAAAAGTGTATTCTGCCATAACATCATTTTACTAATTATCGTAATGGTAATCGCGACGCGACGTATATGTTCTGCTGTAATAACAAAAATCGACAGCTCATGAATATTTTACAGAGCGCTTACCAAACACAGGGATAAATCACGAAAATGACAAATGTTGTTTGTTACCTCTACTTGGAGTGAATTGGGAATTGACATTTTAAACAGCCCAGGGCAATCCTATGACCACGCAGCTAGCATGTCAGGCATACACAACGGCTTACAAGCTAAAATAAACGAAATCTCTCCCCTTGCCGAGTATGTTCCCTGTTCAGCACACTCGCTCAATGTAGTAGGTGAATCTGCAGCTGAAAGCAGCCAAAAGGCATGTTCGTTCCCTTCTCTACCAATTCATCTCAGCGCTGGGAACCCTGTCAAACCCATTTCACTATCAAAAGTTTATCAACGACTCGTTGGTCAGCTCGTGCAGACGCATGCAAAAGTTTACGCGAATCGTGGAATGAAATCCATAAAGCGTAATCTCCATCGAAAATGACACACAATGGAAGAGAGCCGTTATAAGCGAAGAAAGAGGTTTTCCTTTGAAACTGGAATATTTTGAAACCGCCATCATGGCTGTTTTTTGGGAATGTTTACTGGATCGCATTATCGCCACAAGTAAAAAGCTTAAGAATGTGGAAATAGACATTACCGTTGTAATAGAGCTCTATGAGCTACTAATTAGTGAATACCTACCTCGTACCTAAGGTTAAACGATCTTTCTTTGTTATAATTTTTATTATTTTTAAAGCATGTAACTGCTTGATGTTTAAATCTAAAGAAAATATAACTAGAAAAAATTCCACGCGGACCAGGCAGCAGACGGGACTCGAACCCGCACCCTTCGCAATCCGGGCGAATGCACTGACCAATTATGCTACCGCGGCCCTCACGGACCGCGTCGAAATTCTTTCTAGCTATTCTTAAGCTGCAAGGCAGGGTGCGGGTTCGAGTCCCGTCTGCTGCCTGGTCCGCGTGGAATTTTTTCTAGTTATATTTTCTTTAGATCTTTCTTTGCTTAACAGAAAAGCCGATTTTTTAAGGAAATTGGATTGCGAAGATGTAATTAATGATTTTGCGGGCGAGTTTTGTAACACAATGTATAACACTTATTATATCTTATTTTGTACTGTTAACCTGTAATAAAATAAATAAAACCTAAAACCGTTTAAATGTTTTATTAAAATGTGCAACATTTCCTGAAATTAGCAGCTATTATTATTGTTAGGTATTTATTATAGTAAACTTATGGTTACTTTTACCCACACCATCCACCCGCACTTGCGATAACAAGTAGCTCCGTACAATTAATGGTGTTTAATAGTTATTTATTATTAAAAGTTGATAACACTCATGTAAAAGTTATCAAAACCACGTATGCCAAGTTGGCGGTGTATGTCAGAGCAAATAACTAACTACATAGTTGTAACAACTTATGTACCATAATTCTTGCGAAATAAAAAAAAATCCTAAATTTCTAAATTTATTTAGATAAAAGTTGGCAATATAGTAATTTCATTCTGTAGTCTAAATTGTACCTACATGCTCAGAAAAGGGCGGCTGATGGTTTGGGGCCTAGGGCGGCCGCGACTTCAAATCAGCCACTGAGTGCATCTCAATGAAATGACTCTTAGTATGCTTAGTACTTATCTGAGTTCCACTAGTTCTAAAACAATATCAGATTTTTTGACAAATATTCATTATAACAAGCACAAATAATAACAAAATTCTACCATTGACCTCTATTATTTCATAACATATTTTTCACACTGCGCGTTTATTTTTGCGTTTTCTGATTTTACCAATAGATGGCGTTAGAAACTCAACAATAGGTATTGTAACAATTTTAGTTACCACCGACTATTTCAGGGCGTACATGAGACTCGAAACTTATTTAATTTAAAATCAGGGCGCCGTGATACTGTGATTTGAGGGAGATAAATGAAAATGTCTAAAACAGCAGTGAACAAGATATTATATTGTTAAAAAGATTCAGATCTTATTTCATCATGGTTAAAACTTAATACTAGTCACATTCAAGTTAAAAATACATAGTTATATTTCTTCAAAGATTTTTCTTTTGATTTAAAGCTATTCAAACATTCAAGATCATGTGCTAATACAGTAATACTCAATTTAAGATTCTTATATAAACAAATTATTAAACAAGTTATAAAATATTAAATTTTGTTAATTTAACAATAAAAATTTGTTATGTACTTATAATGGCTTTACAGTTTACCAATAGAAATCCTTTATCACGTTAAACAGAAATTGTTCTCCGGAGTATGCACTGGTTAAATATCAAGAAGTTATAAGTTTTACTTAGCTTGGCAAGATCATGGGAGCATCAGGATCACTCAAATGTCCTCAGGGATGAAGCAGGACTTGCTGTCATCACGTGAACACGTCACTTTTTTGCTCAAGAAAGCTTCACAGGCTCATATATATATATTTCCAAGGAGATTCCAATCAGGATCAAGTAAATGTGACTATTACTGTTATTTATTAGCCAAATTAATGGACCCGTTAATCCGGGGAGAAATATTAAGTATATAATGCACTGACTACCACTGCTAGTCTTAATGCTATTTTCTAAGTATGGTCTTCAAGGTTCTATCAGCCAAAAGAGAGCGAATCTGTTTGTGCACTGCTATTTATAGGCTACTACAACACGTGACAGCGTCATTGCAAATTTCTCTCATATCACCATATTTGGTATGAGGAAGCACACGGACCGGTTTTGCTGACTCCGCCTTTCAATGTTTCCAGAACATTAATGTGACGTCACATCCATTTCCGCATCTCATTTAAAAAATTTACACACTAGCTCCCTCTAACTTACATTCCAAATGCAACTACTAGGTTCACACATATATTGTACTTGACCATTGCTTTTCAAAGTGGATTTCGATATTGAATAATTTATATGCATGATGCTAGATGGCGCTGAATAAATAATAATATTTCTACGACTTAATATTTAAGAATTATATTGCTAAGTTTTTAACGTTATTAAATTTAATTGCTACACAACATCCCCCTTATCTCAAAAAATTTTTTTTTTCAAAAAATTTTTTTTTTTTTTAATTAATTAACCTGCAACTGACTTGCAGACAAATCAACAATACTAAGTATTAGCCAAGATAAAAAAATTTAAACTTATATACGTGAGTATCCATTTATTTACTCCACGTAATGTTCTAAACTCTAAGTCAATAGCAACAATTAAATATTTGCTGTTTAATGATTTTTCTTTTAGTTTCATGTAAATACCTTTCTTGGATCTAATATCCAGTGGTATAACATGGCTTTTTTTTTTATCTTATGAACTTAAGGTAGTTAAGAAAACAACTCAAGATTAAAGAAGTTTGTATGTTTTCTAACTCAAAAGATTAAGATTATTTTCCAACAATCTTCCTATCTTTAATTATCAAGTCTAAAGTATATATCCACTTCCTTATGCTTATGCCTTTCTTACATCAAGACCTATTTTTCTATTAAGTATTAAAATAAATTGCACGTGTTTATTTTGTAAAACACTTTTCATACTTCACGCATTACATACTACTTTCATACCCATATGCATATCAGTGAACACAACTTTACGAAAATATTTTACTATTAAAAATATATATTTTTTTTTTGTGTTAAAATATTAAAATTCCTCGAAATTTCATTTAAACATTTTTTTTTTAAAGTGACCATATAGGTTAAAAAAGGTTGTAAATAAATATTTATTTAGTTAAAAGAGAAAAACAATTTAATTTTCAGGCAGGTTTCGAACCGTAGCCCACAGATTTCCATATGCACTCTTCCTATACCATAACTCTTCTTAACCAACCGTTTAATACTGAAAGTGACTAAAATAAGCATCCTATGTGGAATTCAAAGATTTGTTAATTTTTAAGTTTGTTAAAAAATTTAAGCTATCTTTACTAAGTTAACATTACATTAAAGCAAAAACATCTACGATCAAGATTGGACAA